CAATGCCCAGAATCCAGCTGTCTGCTCTTTCATTCAGACACATGTACAGCCCTGCAGACACAAAACTCCACAACCAACAGCTGAAAAGTGAGCAGACTTTGGTGTTTTACCAACTATGTGTTTGGAAGGACTTGCAGAAAATGTCTGGTATTGCAGTTATTTGAGGAAATTGCTTTGCATTTTTTGGAATTGATTACAAAGTTCAGAGAGGACAGCTGCCGAATGCACACCATTCTGATTCTATTGAAGAAAAATTTACCCATAAAAGAAAATTTGCTGAAAATATACTCCCGGTCAGGCCTTCCAAGATGTAGATGAGTTTGTTTCTTCATCAGATTTGGAGAAATGTAGCATTACATCACTTGCTCAGCAATGGATCCTTGGCAGCAGGGCTGTTTCTAGGCATAGGCGAGCTAGGCTGTCGCCTAGGGCGCCACCAGCTGAAGGGGCACCAATGAGCGCACGTACTGGCACTTTTAGCGGGTTGTGATAAAGAGTGGCACGGTCACCCTGAAATATGACTGCCGCCCCCACTGGATCCCCCAACATTATTGGGCTAGAGTACTGTCAATCTGACGATGCCTGTATGCCACTAGATCAGAGTGCTGTCAATTGCTGCCTGATTGTTGCATGCACGTTTCTAGGCATAGGCGAGCTAGGCTGTCGCCTAGGGCGCCACCAGCTGAAGGGGCGCCAATGAGCGCACGATCCACAAGCAATCCCATTCAGGATCCATTGGTGAGCAAGTGATGTAATGCTACATTTATCCAAATCTGTTCTGATGAAGAAAGAAACTCATTTACTTCTTGGATGGGCTGACGGTGAGTATTTTTGGCTGAACTATTCCTTTAATTAAATAATTTAAAATAATCCACTAACAAGTTAAATTGCTGTGCTTAAACCACTTATTTAAAGACTCCCGAATTCCAGAAAACATAATCTTCATTGCATTGATAACACAGCGTGGTGCATATGGTGATGGAGATACAGCATGTGGGTGAAGCCACGCTGAACGAAGCACACAGTGAGACCTGCTCTTTTGACCACAGGTCTGTTTTTTCCATAAATAATGAAAGTTATGCACACGAAAAATGGGTGCACCTTATCTCCTCGAAAATATAAAACGCAGATGGAGCCAGAGCAATCAGCACCCAGTGCATTTCCCATGCATCCACACTTCTTCTGAGCAGGTCCAACAGTGCATTTCTACATACAACGAGCACATTATTACTATCTAGGAAAAGTACTTCATCCTCTAGGGTATGATAAATCCATTCCACCCTGGACTCCATATGCTTTTTACTGATTAGGTAAGAATATGAGGAATGTTAAGCCAGGCTCCCTCTCTTTCTTTTCCCCATTCCATTCAGGACATTCCCAAGAGTAATATTCTGATGTTTATGAGTCTAAAATGACTTCAAAGTGTCGTAGTTATTAATTTCTGTCACATTATGACTGATTTTTCCCACTGAAATCTGATTAATGAAAAACTACAAGTTTAGAAATATCACAGGAAATGTGAAACACTCACAACAAAGATTAATGCTGAAACCTCTGTGTTTGGTGTCCTATTTCTTTCTTTCTCAACATAATGTATGTTTTAAATGTGTGAGAACATTATTAGCACAATGACTTCATTTCGATAACCACAATGGCATGTAGTCAACAGTAACACTTGATTAGGGAACACTATTTACTATTAACTAGTTGCTTATTAACTATTAAACTATAGCATCTTAGCTGTAATGACTTATTCTGCATGACCATATTCTAGATCCCTTAACTCTACTCAATAGGGTTATAGCATCTACCTTATTTATACTATTAATAAAGTAATTACACGTTTATTGAGGGAAAACTCTTAATAGTGAATATGTGTTCAACTATATAATGAAGTAAGATTTTAACAGAAAGGCTAAAATTTTTATTTTTTTGTAATTGTTATATATCTTTATTATATTATAAATATGAAAATTTTTGTATGTATGTATATATTTATAGTGTGTGTGTGTGTATGTACAGGTGCATCTCAATAAATTAGAATGTCATGGAAAAGTTCATTTATTTCAGTAATTCAACTCAAATTGTGAAACTCGTGTATTAAATAAATTCAATGCACACAGACTGAAGTAGTTTAAGTCTTTGGTTCTTTTAATTGTGATGATTTTGGCTCACATTTAACAAAAACCCACCAATTCACTCTCTCGACAAATCAGAATACTTCATAAGACATTTAGTGAATTGTTGGCCCTCTGGAAAGTATGTTTTGAAATAAATGAAATTTTCCACGACATTCTAATTTATTGAGATGCACCTGTATGTATGTATTGTAGATAGATAGATAGATGAAGACAAATTAAAACTTGTTGGATAAAACAATGGATTTATTTATTTTTGTTTTTAGATACTAGATATTTTTGTATGATACCTTGTGCTGTTTAATGACTTGTGTTTCATTGGGGCATGTTGACACAAAAAGTCAACTGTATCGTCACAATTAATATAGGGGTTTGGCAAAATAAAAATGGGGACAAAAAAAGAGGTTGTGATTATATTTTGTCTATATTCTCTAGGTTGTGTATAAGTTGTGTTCAGTGTTTAGAACAAGCACTCGGTGAAAGACTTGTCAGACTTTCAGAAAGAGCAAATCATAGGAGCCCAGGCACATTTATCGTTTTAATCCAGGCCCACTCATCATTTTAATCATACGCTAGATTTAATTATATTGCATGGAATTGATCTTACTGATATAGATATCGTACCTCAAAGTGATGATGTTACTGACCATTTCCTTGTATCGTGCATGCTGCGTATTACTGATATTAACTATATGGCTCTGCGTTATCGTCCGGGCAGAACGATTGTTCCAGCCACCAAAGACAGATTCACAAATAACCTGCCGTTCAGACACACACACTCTCTGTTTAAATCTTGATTAAAGACACATCTCTTTGGCCAAGCATTCAAATAATGCATCTCATAATCTTGTACTGCAGTTATATCTGATCAAATGCACATTATTATTATTCTTTAGCTTGGGTTAAACAAATAAATTTTTCTTGTTTGGAAGTTGGAACAGCAGCTACGCTAATTATGTCTCAATTTGTTTCTCTGTTTCTGCCACAGGATTGACATCCCGTGGTAACTAGGATTTACACAAGCTTCAGTCTGGATCCAGAACACCTGAGAAGAGATGATGCCAACCCCTCAGAGGAGATCAGATGATGCCAACCCTGAAACAACATACAGAACTACCAAACTAACCAAATCGACTGTGAATGAAACAGAAAGTGAATGGCAGAGACTATTGTACTCTAAGAAGAATTGTGTCCAGACAACACAGAATTACTGCTCCAAATGGACAGCAAACCTCAGTATTCACCTTAAGGATCTGTTTCCACACAAAACAAAGCCAACATCCATGAAAGAGCTGCAACTGTTAAAAATTGAAACAAAGAATACCAGCGCTATAATGTGAAAAAGATGGTGCCATGACATTTGGAGCACCAAGATGAATATCTGCCCTGGCTAGACAAATCACCTGACCCGAATGTTATCACACCACTGTAGGCAGTTTTGGAGAGAAGAGTGAGAATCCGATTCCCTCCTCATCTCAACATCTCTAAAGTAGTATTCAGCTGGAGCCCATTCAAATGCTGTATGCATCTATAATCTATCTAGAAAGTTGGAAGCTAAAAGCAAATGGTGGTAAAACACCTTAATAAATCAATAAATATTGCCTATTTCCCATGTGTTCACATTATTTTTTCCGACCCTTATGTTTCTTGTGATCTTGAAAACACCTTAAGGATCTGTTTCCACAAAAAACAAAGCCAACATCCATGAAAGAGCTGCAACTGTTAAAAATTGAAACAAAGAATACCAGCGCTATAATGTGAAAAAGATGGTGCCATGACAGTTGGAGCACCAAGATGAATATCTGCCCTGGCTAGACAAATCACCTGACCCGAATGTTATCACACCACTGTAGGCAGTTTTGGAGAGAAGAGTGAGAATCCGATTCCCTCCTCATCTCAACATCTCTAAAGTAGTATTCAGCTGGAGCCCATTCAAATGCTGTATGCATCTATAATCTATCTAGAAAGTTGGAAGCTAAAAGCAAATAGGTTATTGCACATACTGTACAGGATTGTATGGTGGTAAAACACCTTAATAAATCAATAAATATTGCCTATTTCCCATGTGTTCACATTATTTTTTCCGACCCTTATGTTTCTTGTGATCTTGAAAACCATTTGATCTAAAGGTGTCTGCTTAAATGCCTGAAATTAGTTCCCAGCATACATGATGTGAGTACTGTTAAATATCTAAGCATGCACCTAATGAAGCTGATTGAGTGAACAAGTGTGCAGTGCTAGAATAAACAAAGAAGAAACTGAAAAATTCGAAAGTTTTTATTGGTTTAATATTTTGAACAAACATATTTTTTACTTCACAGTTTTGATGACTTTACAGGAAGCACCATCCTGCATCTCGTCGTCGTCTTCTTTGTTTAATGGCGGTTGGCAACCAACAATGAGGTGCATTACCGCTGAGTCAACTACCTCCCAGATAATAATAATAATAATAGATTCTTAAATTCTGGTAATTAACCCAGTTCTTCTCAGGTAGTTAATTAAACTTGCATTATTATGACCAATAGGTATATCTTTAATGCTAACTTCTAGATAACTTTGATTCCTAATTTCTTTAAGAATGTTTCTCTTTCTGTGATGTACTTGTATGTGATCCACTGATTCCATACTTTAGGAGGATTCTATAATAATCCTGGATTCTATTATAATGTCTGCCTGTTACCTTCCCTATCCCAGTTACATTGCCATTCCTTTATAATATTTCGACACACTATTTCCCTTTTTTAATACTGCAAAGCTGCCTTGACACAATCTGCATTGTAAAAAGCGCTATATTTACAACAGCGACTTGACTTTACTTGACTTATATTCTGCATCTCCTGCAGCTCATCCAAGGAGAAGGCTCGTGACGTCGCCAGCAGCTGGAGCCGGATATCCGCCACGACCGGATAAATCCCATATTTGGGCATTCTTAGCAGGCGCAATGGCAGCTTACATTGTGTGCGAACGGCTAGCTTGACGCTGATTGTGTAGTGTAAATGATCGACTTTTAGACATTTTCAATCCATGATCGAGACGGATGAGTGGCGGATTGGAACGTATATATTTTTGAAAATGTCAAAAACCAAGTGCTAGCGACCGCTCCGTCAAACCACCACCAAGCCGAGACCACTTAGCACGGCGTTAGCATCCCCAACACCGTTTGCGTATTTTCTCGCTATTCGCACCTCCCCCGACTCTCTCACCCGGTGTCAGCCGCTCTCCATGCCCGAGGATGAACAGCTTCTCCCTCGGCGAGTTGTGCTGGCTCTTCTGCTGCCCGCCGTGTCCGAGTCGCATCGCGGCTAAGCTGGCGTTCCTGCCGCCTGAGCCCACCTACTCCATCCACACAGACGCGAGCGGCGCGACGAGCCTGCATCTCACCGAGCGCGCCGACTGGCAGTACTCCCAACGCGAGCTGGACGCCGTCGAGGTGCTGGTGACCCGAACCAGCCGGGGAAACCGGGTCGGCTGTATGTTCGTCCGCTGCGCGCCCGCTAGCCGCTACACGCTGCTGTTCTCCCACGGGAACGCCGTGGATCTGGGCCAGATGTGCAGCTTCTACATCGGACTCGGCTCCAGGATCAACTGCAACGTGTTCTCCTATGATTACTCGGGTTACGGGGTCAGTACCGGGAAACCGTCCGAGAAGAACCTATACGCTGATATCGAAGCGGCCTGGCAGGTGCTGAGGAACAAGTGAGTGTTTGTGAGCAGGTGCTTCTGTGTTTGAGCGCCAGTACCAATTGTTCTGTGATTGTGTGGTGTTTCCATGCATATGAATTCTAGCACTACTGCTTTCGTTATAAATACATGGATGCATGCATCCTATTTCATTATGTGACCCTGGACCACAAAACCAGTCATAAGGGTAATTTTTTTTAAAAATGGAAATATATACTGAATAAATAAACTTTCCGTTGATGTATGGTTTGTTAGGGTCGAGATACAACTATTTGAAAATCTGGAATCTGAAAGTGCAAAAAATCAAAATATTGAGAGAATTGCCTATCAAGTTGTCCAAATGAAGTTCTTAGCAATGCATATTACTAATCAAAAATTAAGTTTTGATTTATTTCAGGTAGGACATTTACAAAATATCTTAATGGAACATGATCTTTTCTTAATATTCTAATGATTTTTGGCATAAAAGAAAAAAAAAATTGACCCATACAGCCCTCTACGAACACCTTGGCAATTGAATCGCCATTGGCTAGTAAATTTTTTAGTTTACTTCCCAGACTGATAAATATAGTATATATGTATGTGTGTTTGTTTGTAAAATGGCACAGTTTTATAAATATCTGAAAGTACACTTAACATCAGTCAGTCAAGCATTATAATATGATAATCAATGTTATTTAATGATAGAACTTTAATAATTAGAATTTAAACTTGATAAACATGTATGAATGCATATTAGTCATTTTAACTGAACTTTGGACTGGTGGTGGTGCTTTTTTGGTCATTCAGTATTTCTGTAAAAAAATTAAAAATTGGGGGGAAAACTAACAAAAATACTGATAAGATGACAATGATACGAATTCTACTAAGAACAATATAAAACGCACCAAGGATTAATGAATCTTAAATCGGGTTGTGTGCGTTCACTCGAACTGATTTGTAGTGTTGGGTCGTTCTTGAACGATTCGTTCATTTTGAACGAATCTTTAATGTGACTCGGGAAGAACGAGTCGTCTCGGGGAGTGATTCGTTCAGTCGTGCATGCGCAACATCCTATAGGTTCTGTACTGGAATTAGTCAAGTAGTTCACCTGTTTTGAGTCTTTGGGTTTTTCCGAGTCATTCGTTCATCACGTGACAGCCACATACACTTAACCAATGCAGTCTGAGCCGGAAAAAGAATTGATTAGTTCATCCATCGAGTCTTCGGGTTTGAGTCGTTCGTTCATCACGTGACAGCCCCATACGCTTACCCTATGCAGTCTGAGCCGGAAAAAGAATTGATTAGTTCATCCATCGAGTCTTCGGGTTTGAGTCGTTCGTTCATCACGTGACAGCCCCATACGCTTACCCTATGCAGTCTGAGCCGGAAAAAGAATTGATTAGTTTTTTTTTTATTTATTTATTTTTTTTTTATAAAGGGTGGAGTGCGGAGGCCGCGCCGGAGCCCTCGGCCTCCGCACCCCGTCTTAGAGAGACCTCTCGCCTTTGCCGGGCTGACACAATAATGATCCTTCTGCAGGTCCACCTACGGAAACCTTGTTACGGCTTTTACTTCCTCCCGATAGTCAAGTTTGATCGTCTTCTCGGCGCTCCGCCCATTGTGGCGCGCGTGCAGCCCCGGACATCTAAGGGCATCACAGACCTGTTATTGCTCCATCTCGCGTGGCTGAACGCCACTTGTCCCTCTAAGAAGTTGAACGCCGACCGCACGGGGCCGCGTAACTATTTAACAAGCCGGAGTCTCGTTCGTTATCGGAATGAACCAGACAAATCGCTCCACCAACTAAGAACGGCCATGCACCACCACCCACAGAATCGAGAAAGAGCTATCAATCTGTCAATCCTTTCCGTGTCCGGGCCGGGTGAGGTTTCCCGTGTTGAGTCAAATTAAGCCGCAGGCTCCACTCCTGGTGGTGCCCTTCCGTCAATTCCTTTAAGTTTCAGCTTTTAATAGACCCCTTTTAATACATGTTAACCAGGAGTCACTCATATTTATAATAATAAATGTAATTATTTAGTATTGCGGTATTTTAAAAATTCATATCATAACAAAAATAAACACCGGTATTCGGTATGAACCGGTATACCGCCCAGCACTAAGTTTGACTGAAATTTACAAACTGATATTTACAAACAAAAGCAGGGCTATCAATTATCATTGCATTTAAACTGATTATGCGTTGTTATTAGGCTATTTGTAAAATATACACATTTTAAATGGTAGCATGCCAAAAATAATAAACAAATAAATATATTCTGCATATCAGCTTTTGGATGCGCCATCATTAAATTATTGGTATTGGTCAATCTCTGTTATTGCTTCTGTTATATTATTTAGTATCCTGCTGGTTTAAATACTTGAATCCTCTTTGTACCAGCCCAATTTTTTCTAACTTAAACTGAGTGGTGACATAACTAAATAAGTTGTTGCATAACCACATGTCACATCACTGACTGTCAGTCTTAATAGATTTAATTTTAACAGCGTTTTGAAAATTAGTTTGACTGATTTGTTCTGTTTTTCTTTAGCAGGTGCTGATATTGATATCTAAAGCAGGGTGGCTGATAAAATGCCAATGTGAATCAATTTAATGATAACAAATTAGTTGTAAACCTTATTAAAGTGAATGTGCATTTTACAAAACATTTACTTAATATTCACAGAATTTTTTTTTTATAAATACAAATTATTCAATGACTTGTTGAAGCTAATATATATATATATATAAGCTAAGTAGAATTTGGGGAAAGTGGGAAGATAAGCGATTTGGTTAATCAATTTGGTCGATCAGTCTGTCACCAGAAGTTATCAATATAATTTGTAGTACAGTCTGGTGAAAATAAAGCATCTGGGCCTTTGCATAATGTGATATATGTTGGTTGGATGATGACAATCTAGCTCCATATTGGCGGAAAAGGGGTAATAGGCTTGTTTGACTATAGGCTCTGACTTTTTTGCATTTTCCTTGTTGATTTTGGGAGAAAATCTGAGGAATTTTGTGACAAGAATTTAAATATACATTTTTTTTAAATGGAACTTAATGTGAAGCATAATCAAATTAGCTAAAGTATTTAAAGTTTAGAACTTGTCAGAAGTTCTTTTTGCTGAAAAATCTATATCAGAGTTTCTGCTGAAATTTCTGTGGGCACAGATTCCGTGTGGGCTTTTGTGTGATCACAGCCTGTATACTGAATGGTCATTCCGGGTATCTGCTGGTCGTTCATGCCGATTAAGCTCTTTTGTCATTTGAAGAAGTTGAGGACTGTAGGCATCACATGATCCACATGAGTATTATCTCACTACATTGAGCCAAGAAAACCTTTGATTGTACCTTTGGCTAAACTGATCAGTTAATCAGTTTGAACAACAACTGACCTCATGTTTTGGTCCATGGATGGTATTTTAACCATTGGACTTTCTCCTGACCAAACAGAATAGCTTATGTTGTCTTCCAGAGGCAATCCAAGACACAATGCCAATAGAGACTAATGATTTATAACTTGTTAAGATCGTTTAACAAACTCATTAGAAAGTTGTGTTTCTGGCAGATTGAAGACAATTCCATAAAGTGCCTTGTCTTTAATAATACATAACAGGAGATGTTTACACTGGAGAGTGTAAGTGTCTGTAATTATTTTTGAAGTAGGAACATGATCATTTGTTCACGCATCTGGCAGTGGTTATGTTGTCTAATGAGCAATGGAGGCTGGTTGAATGCAAAATATGAATGGTTTGTTTGGTTGCTCTGCATGCAGGATTTTAAGGCACATATGCATGCTTGTTTTGGCAATTTTAATGAAGCATTGTATTTATTTTCAAGTAGAAGCCAATACATTATGCTCAGTGGAAAAAAGGAATCTAAGATGGTGTGTGCACCAAGAAATAATCTTAAATATTATTTATACAATGCTTAGTTGAAAATGGCCTGTTTTGCTTCAATATTTTTGTGTGCTGTTTGTATGTTTTTTTTTTTTTTTTTTAATTTTTTTGCGTTGCATTATTAGCAACATCCTAACTCCATTGTCTATTGAAATCAATTGTGAGTTCTGTCTCTTGTGCGCTTTGCGTGAGAATTGCTGTTTGTGTGACGTCACCATAAGCTACTTCTGATGAACTGTAGCTGTTTTTCCTTCAGTTTTTAATGGCTATCCTGGGGTTACTGGTGCTAGTTTGTCAATCAAGCTTTCCAGAAAACAAAAAGGAAATAAAGCATTTTCATTATGGCCATAAGGAAACTCAAATACTGCTTCGTAGCAGTAATCAATTATTTATACAGTTTGTTTCTTAGTTAGTAGGTTCCTGTTTCTACTGTAAATTCTGTATAATGTTGAAACCGAAATTTGCAGAGAGCAGAAGTAGTGTTTTATTTTTAGGATGCACTCTTTGCAGTGTTTTCCTTTACAGAGTTATTTTAGTTAACTAAAACTGAAAACCATAAAAAATCACTTGAAATAAACTGAAAGAAAATTGACTCAACTTTTTATTTTAGTTGTCAAAGTAACATTTCTCATTTTCACTTAGTTTAACTTAATGTACTAAAATAACAAACTGAAACAAACTATATACAAATATGTAAACTATATAGACATAAAAAAACTAACAAAAATGACAAACTTAAAAAATAACCAAAATGAAAGCAGATCTAAAAATAAAAACTAATTGAAAATATTAATTATTCATATTAATGATAGTAAAATAATACAGGTTTTTCAAGGGTACTAAGTGCTGCTCCTTTAGAGTTTATCCAAACTCTAAGCAACGTCTTGAACATGAGTCCCATATGAAAATGAGTTTAACTGTAATTGAGAATCTGCCTTTTCTCGGTGACTCTTTGTCCAGGAATATAGGCTAGTCAACGCAAATGCAAAATTTTGGATGCAAATGTACTTTATGAATTGCGGGCTAAAGTGCTTGCATAGCTTGAAATGTTTGCATGTGCATATACGTGCTGCTTGTATTATATTTTTATCCTTAAATGCCATTTCCTCCTGCGTTTACTCCTTAATGGTGGCACTTGCAGAACTTCCTGTGTAATTACTGTACTGTGTGCTGTAGCCCTTCAGTTTGACTCGCTTTAACCTTCCACTGTGCTGCCAGCTCTACCCTGAAATTTATCTGGTGACGTACTGAGTGTTGAAGTACTCATATGGCAGGGTAAATGAACTCTGAGCCTCTTGTACGTTTGCTAGTAGTAAGTGACGGCATTCTCTGTAGGTTCCACAGGATGTGCAAACGTTTGCTGAACGTTAATGTCGTGTTTATTTGGCTATGCAAAGATCATAATTGTACTGAACTGTATTTCGGAGTTGACAAAGTAATCTAAAATTCATTGGTTTGTGAAATTAGTTTTAATATTAGATGAATGCCAGAAACAACAGTCCGAGGACCTTGCGTTCTGCTGCATTAGGAAGCCAGTAAAATATGAATGTATAAACATGGTCTTTTTGAAAATTGTTTTAAGTTCTCCAATGCTATTGGATGGAATGTCAAACATCATGTTTTGGAGAAGTGCAATTGGAAATGTCGTTATTCCAGTCGCTTGGAGAAATAGCGCACCAATAACAAGCTGTTAACTTCTAAAGCAAAAAACGTTGCAGTGTGAGTTACATGATGAAGTTTAATATTTCAGGTTTGGGATCTGCAGCTTAGGCAGTAGTTCTGCTTACTGTGAGTTTAATGTAGGGGTGTAACGGTTCACTCGTTTTATCGATGCATCGATTACAAACCCTGACGATGCATATGCATCGATCTTGAAACATGATTTTTGAATCGTGAATCGACGATTTCGCAATTTCCATAGCGATTCAATGCTTTCAAAATATATACACATTAAATTACTTCAAGCACAAATTAATGGAGACCTTGAACGGTGTTTGTGCCCTAACTATATACAAATATGTAAACTATATAGACATAAAAAAAACTAACAAAAATGACAAACTTAAAAAATAACCAAAATGAAAGCAGATCTAAAAATAAAAACTAATTGAAAATATTAATTATTCATATTAATGATAGTAAAATAATACAGGTTTTTCAAGGGTACTAAGTGCTGCTCCTTTAGAGTTTATCCAAACTCTAAGCAACGTCTTGAACATGAGTCCCATATGAAAATGAGTTTAACTGTAATTGAGAATCTGCCTTTTCTCGGTGACTCTTTGTCCAGGAATATAGGCTAGTCAACGCAAATGCAAAATTTTGGATGCAAATGTACTTTATGAATTGCGGGCTAAAGTGCTTGCATAGCTTGAAATGTTTGCATGTGCATATACGTGCTGCTTGTATTATATTTTTATCCTTAAATGCCATTTCCTCCTGCGTTTACTCCTTAATGGTGGCACTTGCAGAACTTCCTGTGTAATTACTGTACTGTGTGCTGTAGCCCTTCAGTTTGACTCGCTTTAACCTTCCACTGTGCTGCCAGCTCTACCCTGAAATTTATCTGGTGACGTACTGAGTGTTGAAGTACTCATATGGCAGGGTAAATGAACTCTGAGCCTCTTGTACGTTTGCTAGTAGTAAGTGACGGCATTCTCTGTAGGTTCCACAGGATGTGCAAACGTTTGCTGAACGTTAATGTCGTGTTTATTTGGCTATGCAAAGATCATAATTGTACTGAACTGTATTTCGGAGTTGACAAAGTAATCTAAAATTCATTGGTTTGTGAAATTAGTTTTAATATTAGATGAATGCCAGAAACAACAGTCCGAGGACCTTGCGTTCTGCTGCATTAGGAAGCCAGTAAAATATGAATGTATAAACATGGTCTTTTTGAAAATTGTTTTAAGTTCTCCAATGCTATTGGATGGAATGTCAAACATCATGTTTTGGAGAAGTGCAATTGGAAATGTCGTTATTCCAGTCGCTTGGAGAAATAGCGCACCAATAACAAGCTGTTAACTTCTAAAGCAAAAAACGTTGCAGTGTGAGTTACATGATGAAGTTTAATATTTCAGGTTTGGGATCTGCAGCTTAGGCAGTAGTTCTGCTTACTGTGAGTTTAATGTAGGGGTGTAACGGTTCACTCGTTTTATCGATGCATCGATTACAAACCCTGACGATGCATATGCATCGATCTTGAAACATGATTTTTGAATCGTGAATCGACGATTTCGCAATTTCCATAGCGATTCAATGCTTTCAAAATATATACACATTAAATTACTTCAAGCACAAATTAATGGAGACCTTGAACGGTGTTTGTGCCCTCGCATCTCTCCTTCACGTGCTGCACTATTTACCGCCGGTGACTGTCACAGGATTGCGCTCGCGCTCCGTTCGTCTCACGGACACATTTTTTGAGCAGCTGATGTGTGATCTCTTCTTTAGTACTCGTGGCCAGTAATGCTAAAGTGAAGTAGTTTTGCTTTTCTGTAGTTTTTCAATGGCTCTCGGTCATACCGACGTCATTACCTGAGCAGTCGAAAGCTGCACATTTACTGCACAGACGGAGCAAAAATGTAAGTGTCTAAAGCATACGCACACTTCCATTGAATGATAAATGTGTTTTAACAATGTCGTTGAACCGATTGTACAAAGGAAACTGTTCAAAT